CTCTGAGGTACTATTAAGTCAAGAACAATCAACGACACCAGAAGGAACTTTTCCGTGTACCAACAATATCTTAGTTGCCAAGTTAATGAATATTATTTCTCTCAACAGTAGCAGAATCGACTTTTTTTTGTGTAACAGTGACATTCTTTTTTTTTTTTTTCCCTAAAACAGTGATTATAGTGTTCCTTTTAATAATACCGGTACTATGTTTTTGGTGCATCAGTCACACTTTCTTATCTATCTAATAATGACTAGAGTTTTTCTTAATAACATTCAGTATGAATTTTTGATTTATCAATAGCATTTTAGTTTTGGTTACCAAATCAGTGAACACTGTTTTTCTCAATATCGCGATGGGGTGATTTGTTTGTTTGTTTGTAATTAAGCACAAAGCTACACGATGGGCTATCTGTGCTCTGCCCACCACGGGTATCGAAACCCGGATTCTAGCGTTGTAAGTCCGCAGACATACCGCTGTGTTACTGGGGGGCGCGATGGGGTGAATAAGTTAGTTATTCAGAATTTACACTGTCACAATAATTGTATCAAACATTAGTTAATGGTGTATTTCCTTATGTAACAACTTCTGATATATAGAAAAGACAGCGTGTTTTGGTAACAATGCGTTCCAACAATGTCAAGTTTCTTAACAATATAAGTATAACCTAATATTGTTGTTAAGAGGCTATGTGCTGAAAGTATAAAATGAAATGCATAAATTACAAAAGTGAAAAAAAAAATGTTTTCTAATTTAAAGATTGGCCCGGCATGGCCAGGTGGTTAAGGCACACGACTCGCAATCTGAGGGTCGCGGGTTCGAATCCCCGTCACACCAAACATGCTTGCCCTTTCAGCCGTGGGGGCGTTATAATGTGACGGTCAATCCCACTATTCGTTGGTAAAAGAGTAGCCCAAGAGTTGGCGGTGGGTGCTGATGACTAGCTGCCTTCCCTCTAGTCTTACACTGCTAAATTAGGGACGGCTAGCGCAGATAGCCCTCGTGTAGCTTTGCGCGAAATTGAAAAAACAAACAAACAATTTAAAGAGGTTTGTTTTTATAATTTAACTTTAAAATCGGAGGACAAGTCAGAGGGAAGGTTACCTTTATAAACAGGCTACATCCCGTAAAGGAGCAACAAACGTATATAGGTTATACTTTTATGGTAAAATGGGTTCAGAATACACACACACTGACATAGTCATCTAGAATAAAACAACCTAATAACCCGAGCGAAGCCGGATACTTTCGCTAGTATTAAATACTTGCAATATTAATAATCCTGTATTCACTACTTCCACAAGAGAACTGGCTTAAATGAGATATGTAAAAAACAAAACAATATATTGGGCAATTCTGAATTAAACTTTTTCGGTCAGACCATAAGAATATGATCAATTATATAATATTACTTAATTTCTTAACTTGTTTTTGAAATCATGAACATAATTGTTTAAACTCTGAAAACTTAAGTTGCAAGTGTTTGAAACTGACAATCATATATTCTATAACGGTCTATTCCAGACTAAGAAAACATTTTATATATAAAACAACAATGATTTCCTTCCCAGGATGCAGTTGCTACTCACGTGGCTGATGGTCACTTTCATTTCAAAATAAGATATGTTATATCTTTGGAACATCACCTAACTTAACACTTCTCTCAGATGCCAAGGGGTGTCTTTACACTACAATTTGTTGAATATTAAAAGTAAGTTCAATCCTGAAACTCCCAAAGAGGTTGGTTTTGGACGTATTTTTTCGAGACAACTTCGACACAAGTTTTCTTTTGTTAACTTATAATTTTTTAAGTGATATACAGCATCCTCAAGTCTCCATACTAGCTAGTAGCCTAGTACTAAGGTCTACTTGCTGGGAATAAATTCAGTATATATCAAAAAGCCATATTCTCAGCATCATTAATTATGCAATTGCCAACCTTTTATGCTTCTGCTATCACCTTTTTATGTTTAGCTTTCAATTGAGATATGAACGATTTCACTTGTGATTCAGTAATGAAGTACGAAGCATTACGATAGTCAGCAGTAGGATGAGCAGGCAGGAACACTTTGAAAGCAGCTACAGGCATAATATTGTACCCGGCTTGCTGCACAACATCTACCAAGATGGTTCTAAATACCTGAATACCTCTCCTTGTCATTTGTAGACTTCCATGCTTCTTGTGCTTGGCTGTTAAGCTAGTGATGCGCTGATGGTGGTCAGTCACCTTACCACATCAAATTACTTTTTGCAGCCCCAACGCTAAAAGAGTGTGGGAAATGACTTCTTTTTTAGCAAATAAAAATTTCCAAAAAATTTCAGTTCAAATTAAGAAAAACCGGAGTGGTTAGGTTTTTTTTTTTCAACAAAAATGTCCCCCACAGGCTCGTGATGGGCCTGTTAAAATATCACTATGTATTTCTATACAGTATGTTCCGAGTTACAGAAATCTTTCTCATATGGTACCCTAGCTGAATGACCTAGTTCCGAGAGTAAATAGGGCGAAAATAAACTATTGGCTCTGTTAATCGACATTCAGTATCAAGACCACAATCTCTATATGTATGAAAATTTTGAAAAAATATATAATAACTAAGGGGGTAGGAAACACATAATACGTCTGCATACCACAACTGTAGTGTGAATATGATTGCAATTCATATTTATTAATAGCTTTATAACTTTGAAAGACATGAATAAGATTGGTTTTGAGAAAGAGGTACACATACTGTTAAAAAAATGTGAAACTTGCCCATTTGATACATCAAGTAATTCAGTAAATAAAATTCTTAAATATGACTCTAAGACATTAAAAGGTCTTAACAAAAACCTGGAGAACATTATATAAACATCTAAATAAACAACTATTAATCCTACTAAGGTTTACGAATGTTAACCTACAGAGTTTATTATCACAAAAGATGTAACAGTTTGATTTCTGAAGTAATAATTTACAGATAACAAACTAAAATAACATACATAGGAAGCAACACATAAAATATATCATTATAAAGTACAGCTGTGTTCATTACAGATCGTTTTTAGACAATGCCTTCAGAGACATCCCCTTTAAGTTTTCAGGCTCAGCACATGTGCCAACTATATCTTTTGGTAGGCCAAGATCGAAAATCCAAGACAAGGTCCAGTTGCATACCAGTGGATTTCCTGTAAATACAATATTGATCACTAAAGCTAAATGAAAAGTAGGTCAATCTGAAATGTGCTTTCACAAGGAAAAGTAAAAAAAAATGTTTGTTCAAACAAAAACAACAAACTATTCATAACAGTGAATCATGAGGACAGTGACTACCATTTATATAATCATGGACCACGATAATTGTGACTACAAAGTTAATGTGTCTACAAATGGAACAGGTCAACCAGCATCAAATGTTCCTCATGCTTCAAACATTCCTGAATTTGTTTACTCTAAGTAATTAAATATAATGCCTAGAATAACATACAAAAAGGTTTTCATCTAAGTAGTGTGTAACCAATGATCATAAGAAAATAACTGACTATAATAATTAATAAGTAATCTCCAAGTTACCGTTTATATCAATAATTTTCAAGTTAGTCCACACATCACTCCACACTTCTTCCTGAAGAAACTTGATATCGTTATTGCTGGCACGGATGACTTTCAGGTTTGGCATATTTGTGAAAAAGTCGGGGGAAAAACCACGAAGCCTGTTGTCACTGTAATGATAAGATAAAATACGTGTTGCATGATAAGCAAGAGCTTAATGTAAGTCAATCACACAAAGAACAACTTAAAACAATGAACAGCAGGAGTTTAATATAGGCCAGTCATGTAATCAACAACTTAAAACAATGAACAATGGAAGTTTAATATAGGTCAGTCATCTAATCAACAACTTAAAACAATGAACAATGGAAGTTTAATATAAGTCAGTCATCTATGCAACAACTTGGAACAGTGCATACTGGGAGTTTAATAAAGGTCAGTCATTTAAGAATCTCGATCATTTGGTCAATCTGTTAATTATCCCCCCCCCCCTAAGTAAATCGATAATGCTCTCTAAATAAGAGGCCCAATTTTTTTTTCAGAATTTGAAAAGATAACACTATATTTTATATAATTATCCTGGTGATTAAATAGTTTAAGCTGGCTTCGTTAAAATATTTATACTTGGAAATTCCATTAAAAGAATAAAAAATTTAAAAAGTAGTAATTGTTGGCTTTGACTGGACGAGCTCTAATATAAAAGTTTGTTTGCTGAGGCAAAAATTTAGGAGGTCGTGGGGCCAATATAGTAACCATCTAAGAACCATAATTTAGAGAAAGAGAGAAAAAAAGTGGTAAGAGAAAGAGTCTAAATATGCAAATATTCCTTGATAAGTTTAACGAGATATGAAGTTGGTTGAAATATGTTATTTTTTTATATGTCTGTAATGTCGTTTGGTATTTGTAACTTAGGCAATGCCTAAGGTTGTTTGAAACAGTGTGCATACTTGCATCGACACTAGACTATCACTTTCTTCTGGATCTGTGAATCAATCAACAATTTTGTCTCTCAAAATATATTTTGGTCGACTGACTCACGTCAAAAACTAAATATAATTGTGTGAATCCAATGCTCTTAACATAACAGGAGACGTCGGATTTACCGATAAATACTAGCACTTCACCTGACTGGTCATTTTCATATAACATAGTTAAGTCTGTAACCTCTAGATATCATCTGTTCGACCAGTGAAGAGCAATGCTGTCGTTAATCTACTAGTACTATGCGCGACGTTGCAGTAATAATTCTGCGGGCAAAGCTGATACTATCTACTAGAGAATAATAAAGAAATAAAGATAACTAGAAGGAAAATAACTCAACAGTTTTCTGATCCTTGTGTTTCTGAGAAAGCTGCATAAAATCAGGCTAAATGAATTTTTTCGAAAACTTCTACATTAGAATAAGATGACAGAAAACTCATATTTTAATGTCTTTAATCTTTGACTCGCTACTTTACACATAAACGAGGACGATAAACATTTCTACGTGTAATTTAAATACAACGTTTACTGATGTGAAACTTTATTATGACAAAAGTATACTTGTTTACTATTTGGCCTACCTTATTTCTAAATATTCAAGGGATGTCTGCTCAGGCAAAACGTTTCTTTCGATGTATTCCAAGAGGTTCTGGCGCACGCTCAGAGATATGAGTTTTTCCAAGGTTCCGAAGGTTCCAGCCTCTAAAATCTTGATCTTATTGTTTTGTAAAACAAGTAATTCTAGGGACGAAGGAAGCAATGTTTTAGAAACGCTTTCCAGATTAGAGTTTATGATGTAAAGCATTGAAAGTTTTTCTAGGTTACTTAGTCCCAGATTCGTCATTCCACCAGTAACTCTAACATCAGATAGATATATGCCTTTAATTATAGAAGACAAGTAATAAAATGGGGTTGGCTCATCCTTCTCAACCGTTATACTGACATTAGTTGCTGTTAGATGAAGTATAATTGTGTCTTCTAACCACTCTCGTTCGAAATTACTGATGTCAGAATCAGAAATGCTCAATTCATGAATTTCAATTCCTTTCAAAGACGTCATTGCAATCTGGAGATCTGTTCCGTAAATACCTACGCACTTAATTATAATGTCAGACATTCTGACATCGCAACTACACGGGTTGACCGACACTGGACATCGAGGTTCCTCCTCTTCATTGATCTTGGATGCTGTGGCCAAACTGAGTATCAGAATAATAGTTCCTAAGACTTTGCCAATATTTGTTTGAGCTTGAGAGGCCATGATGAAAAAGTATTAAAATTATCTGTGGGGAATAAAATAATTTAAAAATGTAATATAAAACAATAAAAGATCTAAAAATATATCCATCACATGATAATTAAAGAATAATGGAAATAACAGCTGATACAGTGATCATTTATACAATAATTATTTGAACTTTAAATATTTATTCTATGCCAATTCACTAAACGGACACAAAATGTCACTACAGTCTTCCAGTAATAATTGTTTCACCGTTTTTATACATATCTTAAGAAAATTATAATATTATAATACATCTTTAACTTATGTTTTAAAAAATCACGATAAAATCTTAGCGCTACGGACAGACAGATCCGTCTTCTTCAGCTTCAAGGATGAAAGCAAAACGTGATTTAGAAAATATTTATACAAACAAAACATTCACGTGATTTCAACAGTTCCGAATAAATTTAGTTTACATACACGAGAAGAATATTTATGGTTTATTTAATTCGGCTTTTTAGAATGGATAGTTGTTTTACAAATCTAAATTCAACATTATCAAGTTGGTTATAATAAAGTTAACGATTACAATTTTATATATTGCTATAAACAGACACAAAAATACACACCAGTACAAACAGCTTACTACTTTCTTATGTTGTCACCAAACTGTTAAACGAGAGACGATCATCCTGTTTATATCGTCACGTATGGGTATTTCTTATTTCCGTTTTTACGCAACACTACTCATCCCACTTGTTTATTGGGAAATAAAAACAAATGTGCAGTGACCAACAATGGCCTTATCGTATGATTTATTCCCATTAGGCCTAGCTTTTGTGATACGTAAACTTTAGTTTTTATCTATATTTCTCTTTGTTTATTCTTTCTGATTCAGAATCAATGGCCTAGAGAGCATAGTATTAACAAGACTTTCCAGAATTTGTGCTTTCGCCACCCTATTTCGTAATTTTCACGTTCAGTTGACACAAATTTCAACATGCTTCACGTTTTCTGATTCAGAATCAATGGCCTAGAGAGCATAGTATTAACAAGACTTTCCAGAATTTGTGCTTTCGCCACCCTATTTCGTAATTTTCACGTTCAGTTGACACAAATTTCAACATGCTTCACGTTTTTCCTTGCTTCTCCAAATATATTTCTCTATTTTTGAAATGTTTTTTGAGATCAAAACATAATTGTCCTTTTTTTTTTTTTAGATCCTTAGGCCTATATGCACGTTCTTTAGTTCATTTTTGTATTCATATACAGCAACAGTATTACAGAAAGCACAAAAGGCAGTCTTCTTTGCCCTTTATGGACTTAACTAGGTTTTGAAAATATTAAAACTTCGGAGTCAACAGGATTCATATAAGAAAAACAAACAGACAATCAATTTCGCAAAAAAAATTCGAATTGAAATTTTTCATTTCTATAAACGTAAATATCTCTAGAATGTAACTTTATTAACTCAATATTTCGCTATTAGTATTACAGTTTCGTCAGGAGCTATTAATATCCTACAAGGATGAGTGAAAGATTGAGCTAATAAGTTACATTCTCGAAATATAGGTTGTGATTTTATTTACGTTTATAGAAATGTCTCATAATAAACTCCAGTTTGCGTTAAATAAGGTTAAGAATAATAACATTTTCATTCATTTTACTACTAGGTTACTGTCCGAACGTTATTACAAATATTTTTCGTAAACTGATTAATGTAAACTTTTCATGGATTTCCGTCACAAAGAAACTTATTAATAGTTGTTTATTTGTAAATAAGCACAACGCTACACAATGGGCTATCTATACTCTGCCCACCACAGGTATCGAAACTCGGTTTCTAGCGTTGTAAGTCCGCAAACATACCGCTGCGCCACATAGGGGCGACTTATAAATATGAAAAGACGTAAAATATGTTTACTAGGTTTGTAAACATTCATAAAAACATTAAAGTTAGCTATTACAATAGTACGTGCGTTGCTCTAACTACATTTGTAATGATTGTGACCATCTCACGTCATCATTGCACTGTTTTAAACTTTTCATGGAACTCCCAATTAATTTTGCAGTCCTTTTAACGGACTGGGTCAAGCTATTTATTCGATGATTTCACAGAAAGCTGACCCCAGTGGCACAGCGGTATGTCTGCGGACTTGCAACGCTAAAATCATGGTTTCGATACCCGTGGTGGGCAGAGCACAGATAATCTACTGTGAAGCTTTGTGCTTAATTACAAACAAATAAATAAACACAGAAAGCTTGCATACTTAAGCTTCTACTTGTAGACCTTTAGCTAAAAGATAATTTATGTTACACCAAAAAAAGTTATTCTAAGTAGTTTGTAATTACAATAAACCACATTTCATGATGTTAGAAAAACACTTATGTTCAAGAAGTCTTGAAAGAAATGAATAAAACCCCTAAAACCCGAGCCCTTTCGAAAGATGGACCTTTCTTCTTCAGGGGCAAATAGTACGAAATGGCATACTATTATTCACATACCTAAGTTAATTTAGGTTACTTTATGATGAAGTAAAACGTACTCAGACCCCATACACTTCACCATTATAAGACGCCTTAAGGTATTTTTTGTTTACTGATTTAAATTGTGCTGATGAGCCTTGAATAGGCGAAACTGCAGTCCACAGCAAAGGATACAGACAGTTTGTCCCTGAAGAAGAAAGGTCCACCTTTCGAAAGCGCTCGGGTTATAGAGTTTTTATTCATTATAATGAACCTTATTTCATATACAAGAGGAGAATCGTTATGATTTAGTTTCTTTAGAATGTAATATTGTTTAATTAATTCAAATACTATAGCGTGTGTGTATTTTTCATAGAAAAGTAACATCAAACTAACTGCTGTGTCCACCAAGGGGAATAGAACCTCTGCTTTTAGCGTTGTAAATACGTAGAATTATCGTTGTCTCACCGGAGGATAAATTATATAGCGAAAAAATATATAAAAAATCAGGGAATACATATATAAATATATTTGTTAATTACGGTTTTATACAAAGAAATATTTTAAATTTCTGTTTCTACCAAATCATTTTTTATTTTATTTCTTTAAATAGGCATTAACATACACACCTCTTCAGACGGCACACAGTTTACCTCACATGACGAGACCCATTTTGTGTACAAAAGTTGGCTTTAATTCTGTTTTATGTCGAAGGTCGTGTAGTATTTTTAAGCTAACTATTTTTACGTAACTCTTATTCTATTTGTTAACTCACAGATGAAAACAAGTACAAGGTACAGTGGCGGACAATAATCTTATCGTACAATTTACTCCAATTGTTAAGCGGGTTCTTTCGATTTATGAAGTGTAAAAAACAAAAACAACAGAGTCCAATCCACTTAGTGATAACGAAAGCGTTTCATTTCTTGAACTTCTAATTCTGTAAGTCGTATCATTTTACGTAACGAACGAAAAGCCCACCTGACAAATAAAAATTCCCCTTACATCCTCATTTTTCTCGTATTTCTTATTACATTGTCGAAACACAGGCTCAAACTTAACAATGCTAAATGACTCAATTATCAAACAACTTATCTAATTATTAATAGTGTTGCGTCATCGAGTCACATGACTACTGTGACGCAACGTTTCTA